CCCAATTATATAAAAAATTATATAAAAATAGACTCTTTTTTGGGACCTGAATAAACGACGAAGCGTTTTCTGATCTTATTTTTGTTCGTTAAAAACGAATTTAACCGTAGAATTGGCCTAACATGTCAGGTTTTCGAAAAAATGAAGATTAAATGTGCCAAAATTGGTGCTTTTGGTCATATTTACTATTATTTTGTAGTTAAAATAGATTTTTTACAAATTTCATTTATGCCACTTTAAAATGCTATTTTTTACCTATAAAATAAATTTATATTTATTACGGAACAATTTTTTGTCATATGCATAATTAGTATATGAAAATCGCGGAATTGCCGTCACGAACGCAAATTGCCTAAATCCCCTCTCGCTACTCATAATATTCATAATGTTCATTTGAAAACTGGGACCCTATCAGCGGCGCTTTAAAAGCGTAAATGAAATTGAAAAAAAAATTTATTTTAGCCACAAAAAAAGGTAAATATGGCAAAAAATCGCAATTTTGGCATATTTAACTTCAATTTTTTCAAAACTTAACATAGACCAATCCTACGACGAGAACGTTCGTTTTCAACGAACAAAAATACATTGGAAAATGCTTCATTTATTTAAGTCTCAAAAAAAGTGTTAAACTGTGTTAACGGTGCGTAATTAATGTAAAAATAAATATATAATTCAATAAAATTTATTTGTAATGCGATGTTGGTGCGTTCTGGAGATGAAATTATCATCACATACATTTTAAATTATTTGTTATCAAACTTGACTTTAAGTGATATTCAAGATACACACAGTTTAGCACAGTTTAGCAAACTTTGGAACTGTGTTAGGCAACAGATTTATACTTACTTTTAGACTATGATTGGATATTCTGATACACTTAAACTGTGTAACATGATGTATATAATGTAGATCAACTTCATAGTCTCTTTCTTACATACTGAAAATGATAAAAAAATATAATTGAAACATTTATGTGTATTTTCAATGTATATTTATATTTATATCGAATTATGTATATTTAATTCGAATTAAATATATGTATATTTATTTTTATATTATTTGCGCATCACTTACCCACTGATTTTATAAAGCCAACTATTTCTCTCTTTCAATTTTAGTTCTCTTCGGAATTTTATTTGCTTATTATGAATATATATATATATCTAAATATAAAAAGTGTATGCCTTGAATATCTTATACCAAGAATTGTATGTACAACTATATTGTATTCTAAATTATATTCTACTTTTATTTTTTAATTTTATAATGCTATCAAAAATAACAATAGTTTAATTTTATAATGTTATAAAAAATAACAAGGGAACGAATACATTTAAAAATTTAAAAATCAGGATATATTATGTATGATGAAATATCGTAAATTTTATAATATAATTTTATAAGAAACAGTGTTGAGGATGGCAGAGTATGAAATTCGCGGTAATCTATGGAACACTATGATCAGGAGAGAATATATATCGGATAGTTCTGAGAAAAATATAAGGCCATTTACAGGTTCACAGGAGAGTCGATGAAGGCGAAAATGACCGACGATGCGCAATAAAGGAAACGTGAGATATCTTATGGTGCATCTCTGATTCGAGTACGAGCTGTTATAAATGACACACGTGCTAAGAAAACCGCCGTTATACATAAAGCACTGAACGTGATAGGAATTTCGGCTAAACGAATGAATATTGCTGTCCATTCGAATTAATTATTTTAACTTAAATTAGTCATTAAATTAAACAGATTTATAATTGCAGTGTTATTAAGAAATTGACAATTATGAGATTTTACGTTAAAAAAGTTTATATTTATATCCTTATTTACATTTTAGATATCTTCATTTATTGTGTTGCGAAACCACCGAGAACCGTGCAATCAGTGTATTTAAATTAAAGATACATAACATTGTCAAATTACTTATACGTTAAGATATTTTTGCGTACTATTTTATCATATATTTTGCAACTCAATAAAGATTTCTTTAAATATATGTTTTTATAATTAATATATAATTTTTATCATAGAAGATATTGATAGCCAGTTTGATCTCTCGACTTTTGAACTTCTGACAAAGGACTTCAGTAATATATACATTCTATATTATGATTAACATGTTTTGAAGTTTAAACTTCTCGTCTGAAAAAGATAACGTAAACAAAGTTAATTAGCAAATTGCAAAAATGGCACCGATTAAAACTGGGATTCCAATTAAAACTGAACTTGGTCTTTTATCTAACATATATTATCATTTGTTTAATTACAATTTAATTATTTTGTGAAGTAATAGAAGGCATGCTTTCTTGAATGTAATAAAAAAATTTAGAATTATAAAAATCATACTGGAAAATTTCTGGGCACCGGTTGACGTGAATAAATGTATGCTATCAGAACTAATGGGATTTTTATATTAAAGTTAATTTATATTAATAAAAATGAACAGAATAGAAATAGACATTTTAATGAAGATGCTATCAACATTTGCTTCTGGGTTTGGCTTGCGTATTTTTCTATTAGTACAATCTTTCTCTATTACTATCTGAAGAATTTATTATCAAATATTTACGTTTTTATTTAATAATAAACAAAGTTTAGATCTTAATGAAATTTGAAGATATGCAAATTCTAAAATCTTTTTTACAACGACTACAGGCACAATCTAATAATAAATTTTCTATATAATTGGAATTTAAATAGTTTTCAATCCAAGAGCAATAAATTCATGATGGAACTAATAAATAGCGTTTATTAGTTTAACAGAAACTATCTCATATTAGGCGCTTATTTCAATAGGGAGCTGTCCTCTATATATTATTAATAAATATAATGTACAAAATAGTTACTGAAATACTGCATATTTCTTTTAAATATAACTTTACACAATGGAAGGATTTTAAATTTAAATTATGAATAATGTTAAATTTACACATATTATTTCCTTCAGTAATAAAAAGAAAAATTTATATTTATATAATATAAGTATGAACAATTATCACACATACACAAATTTTAATAGTTTGCATGTTACATGAATTATTTTGTTAGTTTCAACATTTATAACAAAATATAATATATTTATAATTTTTCTGATTATAATGTAATACGGCATAGTATTATTGCGTATCTGTAGCATGTATTGGCTGTATGTATGTTAGATTTATTTGATTAAATTTTTGATTTTTTAATTCTCTCAAGTTTGTGTGTTTGATTATATTAGATATAATATAATAATAATTATTAGAATTATTATTAGATTTATGTACAGA